CATATACATATTGTGCATATTGAACACATATTATTAACATACATATTATATTATATATTAACATATACATATTGTCATTATTAACACATATATAGACATACTAATTATATTGATTGATATTACATAACATTATTGTAATATTAAACGACAATATATACATACATCATTACATTATTATATTACATATCATATTGTCATATTAAACCATATATAACATACATATTAATTATTATATTACATATACAATTGTCATATTAACACATATATAACATACATATTATATTATTATATTACATATACATATTGTCATATTAACACATATATAACATACATATTACATTATTATATTACATATACATATTGTCATATTAACACATATATTAACTACATATTACATTATTATATTAAGCATATACATATTGTCACTATTACACAGTATAAAACATACATATTAGCTATTATTATTTACATATACATATTTGTCATATTAACACATTATACATACATATTACATTATTATATTACATATACATATTGTCATATTAACACGTTTGTTAACGGTTCCCCTCCTGCCTCGTTAGATTGAACTGGAGAAACTCAGAAGAAGGGAACCTGGCCTCGGCCACAGACAGGAAGCCCCGACGAGAGACCCGGCGAAGAGGAAGGTCGGAGAGGAGAAGAAGGAGAAGGGGAAGCTCAGTCACCTTGCGAAACTGGAGGCCAAGCCTGTGGTGGAGGCGGAGAAGGTAGGGAGGTCTCAGTCTACTGTAGGACCCTAGTCCCTAACGATGTCATTAGGGTACAGTCGTGGGTCGGGTTGGGGTGGGGTCGGGGTTTAGGCTTTAGAATTAAGGGTTGGGTTAGGCGTCGGGGCAGGGTATAGCAGTTTAGAGTTAAGGTTGGGGTTAGGATAGCGTTTAGAGTTAAGGTTAGGGTTAGGGTCAGTGCCAAAAATCCATTATCATTACATTATCTTAACGTTACATAATTACATTAGATAACATTACATCATCGTTACAAGAATACAAGAAAAATAAAAAAAAGCGTTTGTGCGTTATTTTAGGTGGCCCGCGGATTTCTTCGTAGACTCATAAAACGACGATCTTACACTGTATTTGATGAGATTAAAGATGTGCTTTGCTAGTCTTGTGGCAGGAGTGATGTGTGCTCTGTTCAGTGGAGTGTTTTTGCTCTCAGCTCTCTGCTGTCAGTGACCAAATGAATGACCATTGCAGTGTTTCCCCTGCATTGACACGAGCGAGGCGGGCCGCCTCGCTCAAATTCTCAGCCGCCAGGCACATTCACTGCTCGCTGTGCTACGACCTCACAACACACAAACACATCACATAAAAATTTACCGCCTTACAGACCTTTCTGGCCAAGGGAAACACTGCATTGAAATATTCCAAACTGAGAGTTCAAGAGACAACTCCTCATGACATTGCACACATCATTCCTGAAGCTTGTTTACATGCTGCACATAGGCTATAATGTATTCGGTAATAAGGTATAAGGTAACAAATCATGGTAGCTTGGGGGTTGATACACATTTATACTTTTTTTCTGGACAGATTTTATACTTTTTTTGTAATATCCTGAGTGGCAGCACTGCACTGTACCTGAAATACCTTAAAACCAATTTACTTATAATACTATACTATAGGTGAGACACCGTGAAATACTTGCAAACTAGTACGCGTATACCATAATTAAATTTTTAAATGAATTGTAATTCAAATTATTTACTGACGTGACGGTTTTGACAGTGGATCTCCTGTCATGAATCCTGCTACAGGATGACAAAGACAGTCGGTTGTCTGTTGCAATCACGGCGTATAGTCTGGATTCATTTCGAAAAGATAAAATTATTACGATTAAATGGATTTTACGCGAGAAAGAAGAAACTTTTGTCGCCTCAGTGCCGACACATTCCTGTTATCAGTAGCGGCAGTGGCTTAATGCTAAAATAAAAATAAAATATAAAAAATAATTCAAAGATAAAATTATTAAGAGTAAGTGGATTTTACACGAGAAAAACCCTGAAAAAGGCACACGACACATTTCTGCTGTCTGCTATGTTAGCATCCCAGAGCGGAGGCTGCACGTTTGAAATGGCTT